TGGCAAAAAGTGTCTTTTTTAACCAGAAAATTGTCATTTTGACCGTGAAAAGTATAACGTCAAAATAATATAAACTTTCTAATGTGGATTTGTGTATAATTTCACAATCTGCTTTTTATGCATGATTCTGAATTGAGAAAGGCGCCCTCTCTAGCCAAAGGTTTTAGGATATACGTGAACGGATCACAGCCCCTTCTTAAGAAATACGCTGCGTCACAGCTGCATTTTTTTCTCACCTAAATTTGGAATACATCCAAAAAGAAAGGCCTTCAGAGAACTGTTAAAAGGATCTAAACAGGGGCCTTCAATGTACAGTGCGCCACCAAGAGATATCCTGTCCAGTAAATTTTCTATTCGCTTTTTTTTCAGATACCAAGAGTTTGCCGTGGAGAGTCCATCTTTGAAGTTTACGGTCGACAAAACACGGCCCGTTTAAACGAGTATCAGTAGACAACTTGAGCTAATTTGTTAAGGATTGGGGCATAGCGTTCTGCCGCCTTACCAAATGATATTGATAGAAAAGAACAGATACTCGAAAAGGGCAAAAAGATACTCGAATCATACGCTTACGAAACTACTGACCGAACAAATTCAAATAGCCCGCGCTGCGAATTTGTCAACCGTCTCCCACAATGCACTGGGAAAAATGACTTCTCCGTGGCAAATTCTTGGTGGCGCAATGCATTGTGAAACGCCCGAATTTACTATAAGGGTCTGTAAATAAAAGGGTTCCAGCTCTGACTACGACTATAACTTGCAGCATTGTAGGTTGCATGGCTACTCTTAGGATTGATTACATTTGGAGGGAGATATTTCCGAAATGTGTGAACTTGTTTGCCATTGAGGATGTTGTTTTCATGGAGTGGATAGTGGAAACAAAATGCTATGCTATGCTTTAATAAAATCTGAGGGTATACGTGAAAACACTCTACATTTTAACTCGACGAGAAATAACCAAAATGGCCAAGGAGAGGTTACTGAAACAGTTCGATAGAATAGTTTATTAAGCTTTCTTTTTTAAGGTTTGTGTTATTTACAATTCCAAAACCAAGAACAAAATTCCGTGTGGTAGAACTAGTAGGTAATTAGCGCATTTCTATGACAAACTACAATGTTAACAGAAAAGTGAAGTTCCCACATTTTTGCCAGCTATTGTGCAGATCACAAGAATAACACACTAAAATTTCTACAATCAAAAATAACCCGAATTAACCCGAGGTAATGACGTCACGCTTTCTTCACATGAGCGCTTTCTTTTTGGAGCTTTAATTGTGGCTCTCTCCACATCTGACTCTCCAATAAATTACATATGTACATAAAACGTGACGTCATTCTGTCCCAGGACTATTGCTGCCTAAATGCTATCACTGAAAGCGAATAAACACGTAAACAACATTGTCCTGATTGTTATCACCTTACTTTACATTTTATGCTACACTACTGATATAGCAACATGATATGGAATAGTTTTCACTGGAGAGTATTAGATAATAAGGGAATAAATGTTTGCTTGGCCGGTTTTAAACACTCTGCTTCAGACCAGTTGGAGTCTGGATGCTGATAATTACCTGATAACGAGGATAACAATTTTACGTCATGTTTTTCGAGACACCCCTCTAGCAATGTTATAGTATGTCCCTCGTGCGCGAGTTCTGGTAAACAACTCTTTATATGGGGATCGGTGCGCGTCGTGACGCAGAATGCAGCTGTGCCGGTGTGTTGTGAATTTAGGACTAAGAAATACTGACTCACTGGTAGTATTGCGCATGCCTACGTGAGTATTGTGAACGTTCAACCAATAAAACGGCAAAAGGAACCGGATTTAATAGATGTCAACATTTTATGTGACACTGGAAAAGTGTTTAAGACCAGCCAACGGGTCTGTATCAACCGTTAAAAACTGGCCACGTGACGGGCTTTCAACCAATAGGCATGGGTAAACTGTCTTAGGTATTTATGAATGCGTATTAAAGCAAGTCATAACAAAATGAACGTTTGAATTGGGAAGTGCCAAATTAAAAGCTATTTTGAAGGGTGGTTTGAATGTATTGTATTTTTGGTGATTTTGGTACTTAGGGTGATCTTTGGTATTTTTAGTGAGCCAGTGAATGTGTCCCACCTCCGAACTGCAAATCAAGGTCCCTAATTTCAAAATCATAATCGCCGGCTGTTCTGTGTGTTTTGATTTAATACAATGTTTGATTCATAATTAAACATGTTTTCAGTTGTAAGTTGAATAATGTCAGAAGGAAAAACTAAATCATGAACGTTTCTTGAGCGTCATAGTAGTTAACATTGTTGTTATAGTTAATATTTTTTTTGTTATGCTCGTTAATTTGTAACCTCAATTCGTCAAACTAGAAAAAAAAATTCCAAATTTTGCGATTTGTCGCAAATGGAAATTATTAAGTATTATGTCATCAAACAGCAGAATCTTGAAGAACAACAGCGGAATCAAATAGCAGAATATTGAAGCAGAATCACAAATTTACTAGTGGTTATCCCAACATACCATTATTACTGGCAACCTTACTGTGAAAACGGGAGCTATCATACCATACATTTTCCTTGTTTCCAAGTCGTTAAAATTTACCTTTACAATGTAGTCTTAACAAATCCAGGTAAATGTCATCCATAATATCCGTCCCGAATAGTCCTAAATTCACAACACACCGGCACAGCTGCATTCTGCGCTACATCATACGACCCATTTTTCACCTATGTGGTAAAGCTAAGGCCAGGGCTGATATGTAGTTCATAATTGCATTTCGTTTCATTTGTAAGGGATCTATATATCATATTGTTGGCGAACGACGAACTCTAAAATGGACTAACAGTGTGAAGTTTATAAACCAATTTAATGTATGTTTTATCTAAGCACAGTCTACAGTCTACCTATAGGCCTACTGGGTACAACTAAATCTTCTCATTGTTTGTTTGTTTGTCGTCTCATCATTTTAGTAATTGTCGTCCATGTTGCAACAGTCTTGTCTTATTCGGTCACACGAGTTAAAGTTACGTTTTCATTGCACATTTTATATTATTTTTTGGTGCTGTACAATAATTCAATCCTCTACTTCTTTTCGGCAGCTGGTAGTCTATACTTATGTAATAGGCACTAAAAGCAGATGTAGCTAAAATAGTACAACATAATTATTTGAAAGCAAATTATTATACACAATTATGGTTAAATTCGTTCCGAAGTTTCAGAAAGCTGCTAGTGACGTTTAGAAATCAACTGAAATCAAATAAAATCGTACCACTTTGAAAAGGTGGGATACCCCTCAATAGTTAACATCTCCAAACTGGGCTTGTATGTGAATACCAATTAGACCAACATGCTGTGCGTACAATATGAACCGGGCTCAATGACGGATCAAATGTGGTAGTTTGGGTGGTTTTCATTTGAGGCCCATAGGTTTCAAAAAATGTATTACCCCCACACGGCTTTCGGTTTGCAGAGTCCGAAACATGCATTCCATTCTGGCGCCCTTCTTGGTAACCACTTAATGAAGACGACAGGGGCAGTCGCTTTTGTTCAGCCAGACAGTTTAGTTTTCAATTGTTTGTCAATTATTTTTCGAAGCCCACCGCCTCCCCTTACTACCACCTGTTCAGGTATAATTGTGCGTTGACAGCAGCACCACAACTACCTTCGACTTGAATACCCAACCGCCCCTTTGGATCATCCTGATTCCGCCACCGTCTAATCCAAAATGTCTGAGTAAACTTGTCAAGGTATATATGGTTTACGATAGATAAAACAGTATTGTATCTGGTTTTGTCCTACTTGGGATTATTTCCAACACTTTGAACCCGAAGTACTTTGTTTTCAATTTTGTAAACATTTTATTGTATAAAGAGCATCCAGATCCACATTTAAGGAGCAACACGAACCCTTTCATAAAACACGGTGCATCTAATTTGATAAACCACTGCAAGCCATTCAGACAAGTGCCTGAATTTTGATATGAAAAAAAAAAGGTTGTACAAATGTCCGGATTGAAAAACTGACAGACAGAACGCAGTCTAACAGTTTCAACAGACCTATCGGCTCCCAACGGAAACGATAGAACAAATGAATAGTTTGTCAATTTACTGAGGGACTACAGAATCATTGGGGTGATGTTTTGTTTGCTGTTAAGACCGGGATAACTATGTTGTTTATGTGAGATCAAATTTGTTAAAATGAAGAAGTTGCTTGATTTTTTGTTCTGATTGGGCAATGCAATGAAATTCTGGTTCTTTTCCAGAACGAAAAAAATCTTGGAAAGAAACTTGTGCAACGAATATGTCTAATTTGCAAGCTGTTGCTTCAAACAACATAGGCCTCAGTTTTGGTGCAGAAGACACCCCTCCCCCTAAAAATGCCCCTATGGCAGGTCAAGGTACTTCTCGACGTTTGTAAGCTTGAAATATAAGGGGCTCTCAAGTTATACTAGCGCGTGTAAGTGTAAATTTACTCACGTAAGTCTCTTTTGCGAGTTTGTTCGGCTCTAAGGCCAGTATGCCTACCATGATCTATCCGAAAAACCCCTTTGAGGCTAAACCATCGTCAGTATCCACACACCCACTTGGGGAAAAATGTGAATGCTCAAAACAGCCCAAGTCTAAAACAGGTTGTTTATGGCTTGCTGTTCTACCATATATTGACATTTTGTACTATGAAACGCACTTTTTACCAAACAAGTGTTTGCCACAAAAACATTGTTTGTGCCAAAAACGCATGTATGTTCGGGCCTATGTATTATATATGAACCATATGGAGCGGAATTACCAAGCTACACCCTCTACCATGCCAGCACCATACCATTTTTTTCATGTACAGTCAGTGACCATTCCATGCATGTGCCATAGGGGAATATGGAACCAATCTCAAATTAATCTTCCCTTTTCATCAACAAAAAAATGATTGAAACTTAAAATATTTTCATTCATCTCAAAGAAAAAAGAAAAGTTCTTCATTCATCTCAAAAAAAAGGAAAGTTCTATCATTAAACATTTACATTTAAAAAAAAAAAAAAAATAGGAAAACTGACTAAAGGGAACAGCATGATTCAGATACGAACCAATCCTCTCCTATCTGAAAAACACTTTTGCTATTGCCCATTCTAGTCACTTCACCATGTACTCCATAATAAAGAGTCATAAGTTGTTTTTTTTATGAGTTGTGACCGCGCAAATTTGTAGCGGACACTGAGAAAACTACTCACTATACAATATTTTCCGGACGAAAATTAAAAACAAATTTCTTCAGTCTTCGTGCTTTACACTCGTTTTTGAAAACATAAAGCTACATTTGATACCATTTTTTAAATTCATATCCTGGCGGAAAGTGCTAAATCTTGCCAAAGGGAAAGTGTGTCTTCATCACCGGGAGTGGCCATGTGGTGTGGGGATTTTCAAAGAAAACCTAACAGCTGAAATAATGTCCGTGCTGTATTTAGCGCCTGTAACGAAAGAAACAAAAAGGAACAACAAATGACAATTTGACGTCATTATTAATAAATAAATATTTCAAAACTGCTGCAAAGCCCGCATGTGCCACTACTGTTATTTGCACAGACAAGGTCTGGTTTATTTACCTCCGATTCTGATTTAGCTCCTCTGGAGTGTTCTGGTCTTTCCGTTGAAGAAAATCAGTAAGCCACCTCTTGTTCATGAAGTCTATTCGGTCCTTTTGCCTGCTTCTGCTTCCTTGGTTAGCCTGTAGTGGACACAAACAAGATTAATCAATTACGCCCTCCATCGCTTTTTACAGGTCAATAGCGCCACCTATTGACTTTGTTAATTTTATTACCTCCTCCAAGGAATTTCTTTTTTTATAGGCGTTTATTAATTGGTTGGTTGGTTTGTCTGTTAACAAGATAACTCCAAAAGGTATGGACAAATTTGCATGAAATCAATTTTAGGTTTGGTCCTTGGTACAAGTATAAATCCATTAGATTTTGGAAGTGACCCGGATCTGGGTCTGGATCTGGCCTGTTTTTAATAAAGGACTCCTCACCATTTATGCGAGTGTTTCTTTTGGGTGTACTGACAATATGGCGGGGAATTGTTTAGCCTTGGCGGAGGGTTGCGCTCTATGAGTGTTTTTTTTGTTTTATAAGGATTGTATTTAGATCCTTATCATTGCAATTGAGATTTCCTTTTTGCGACCAACACGTTTTAAAAAATGTACATGCCTTTATGCATTTTTTATGGGGGGGGGGGCTACTATGTCTAGGATACATCAGCATTCCTTTAATTTATGCAGAGCAACATTTTTAATGAACTTACCTTCTGCCAATCCCGCATTCCCTACAAGTTAGTGGAATTCAGGAAAGAAAAAAACGCGAATAGTTAGTGGAAAAATGCAACCTTCACAGTACAAAATACGTATTTGTATTATATAACAAACCAACACTTGAATTTTTGGTTATGAAGAATTTGAAGAGGCTGCATATGTACCTCAAAATGGATGTGAAATGTGTTACAATATATATCCACGATATAACTATTATGAAGCATTTAAGATCACGGTGGGTCTTGTTAAACAGTGTGAGTAAAAAAGAAAGTGACCGAATTAGAAGAAAAAGAAAAAAGAAGAAAAAATGCGTGGCTCACTGCATTTCATGAAAATAACGTAGGGAAAGCATACATGTTATTGACTAGAAACTGTGAAAACGTTATGTAATTTGCATACTTTATTCCCAAGATTTGGAATTCAATGAAACATGGATGTTTTCCCACCTTCATGAATGAACGAACATTTGCAAAGAAAAAAAAGCCACAAATCGACTCCATATTTCAGGGGGAAAATTTGACTTGTCTCTCATAATTAAAATACAACATCAGACAGTAAAAAATAATGTTTCAGTCTTGACTCAAATGAACAAAATCTTATTTGTATTTGAATGTCCGTGTGTACTCTGTAATTCTCACTCAGCTCATTAGATTTAGATGACATTCCATGGACAGCTTTTAAAATGTTTTAGTAATTCTTTTCTTCAGATGAGTGAAGAACATGCTTTTTAATATACACTTCATTTGTGCATTTAATTGGATTGCCTTCAAATATATATACAATCATTAATCCAGGTCACTTTCTTTTTGACTCACCCTGTATTCTCTCGTTATAATGAGCTCCAACAGTCTCACATGATCCTTGAATATTCCGTGACTCTCAAAACAGAGCATGCGTAGTCGGACGATTGGCAAGAATCAGTGATCAACTAAGAGCAAAAGCCTTACCCGTTCATGACATACGATCGATAATGGTACTTGACTTCATTTGCAAAGATGGTGTTTGCATTAAGGTAATAAGAACATGCATGTTGACCTGCAAACAGCTAAATATTGTGTTCATGAAGTACAATGTCTTTACACTTACGGAGAAGTCACAGTTCTGGTCATCAGACAAGCAGCATCATTGCAGCAAAAGAGAATAAACAATCAAAAAAAAAACAATTGAAATGTACGGTAATAATGCAGTTTTCTCCAAGCAATCGTTGAGCTTTGTAACCGGCAATAAAACAGTGTCACCTTTTGACAAAATCACGGACCTATAACAATAATAATAGCATGTTAGCTATGTCCAGCTGTTGTTTACAAGTATTTAATTCAATGTTACAGCTGTTTTCTATTCTCATGTAGCTGTGATGTAGTATTATTGTTTAATAATAATTCAAATCTTACAAGTTTGATATTGATTTGAAGGCACGTAAAATGAAAAGAGCCCTTTTAACAACACTTTTAAATTGTGTTTAGCAATTAGACACTATCTTCTCATGTAGCTGTGGTGTAGTATTATTGTTTAATAATAATTCAAATCTTACAAGTTTAATATTGAATTGAAGGCACGTAAAATGAAAAGAGCCCTTTTAACAACACTTTTAAACTGTGTTGAGCAAATAGACACTATCTTCTTGCTATCACTTTGCAAACATATTTAGATGCATGACAGAGCACTCTTACAGCATGTGACCAATTACTTAACATCACCGTTCTATAGCACTTATCCATCCTTCCTCTTTACATGTTTAGTACTTAAACATTTTTACAAAGTGATAGCAAGAAAGTGTTTAAAATTTGCTAAAACCCTTTTTGCCGTGAAATGTTTAGCTCGTTGATTGACAAGCTCTGCAATAAACCATTAGAGCAGCTACGGGTAGAACGATCAATAACATTCAAACTTTACCAAACAAAATAACGAAAACAATCTGGACTGGAACATAATAATTTTATATTCAAGCAACATACTTTATATACATCAGCAGCTATCATTCACGTTATGAAGACATTTAACCTAATACTAAAAAAGATACAAGCCTGCTCAGGTCCGATGCTTAACATGTCAATAATGTAAACAATAAAAAGTAGCTTACCCTTGTATCCACCTATATCAGAGACGTCGGCGCCAAAGCAACAAATGCACGGAATGAAAATGAAATGGCACATAAATTACTTGTTAAAGTAGCACATTGATTAAACAACTTTGGATTGCTTAGTGTTGACTTGTATCATATCACAACTGTTTACAAAAAAATACATTTAATAAGTGAATTAATCTGTGCTTAGTCGGTTTTAAACACTATGTTTAAGACCGGTTCGAGTCTGGATGGGTTGTAATTATCAGCATCCAGACTCCAACCGGTCTTAAACATAGTGTTTAATACCGGCCAATCCCATTATTCCCATTAATAAATACCTTTTCGGTGAAAAAATACTTTTCGGTCCAGAAGTCAAAACAAGTCAAAAATGTTAATTTCCAACGATTTTGTTCAACAATTTTACTTCAAGTTTTTCGAGATACTCCTCTAGAATAGGCACTTTACATTTCTTCGATTGAAGTAAGAATTGCTTATAGATAAATACAAGTCTATTAATAGCTCACCTGGCACATCTACTCCATCGTATCAGTAAGCATAAAAATGGATAGAAGTAAGTATTAATAAACAAATATTAAGTAACGAGAAAGGTTCTTTGTCTTAAGTGATTTATTGTGCATCTTTGTTCGTATTCTTGAATGAACTTTGTTCATTACTTCATGTTTTTCAATGAAGACACCCAGCAAAAGCTGCAAACGACCTCAACGGACTCATTATTGGCCAAATGTAGCCGTCGTATTATAATATAAAAATAGGATTCTCATAAGTATCAGTTCTGCTTTTTTTTTTAAAGCAATAAGTCATCTCTATATAAAAAATACAACAAAATGTATCAAAACAATAAGTAAAAATATAGCTTATACTCACCATCTGTTGCATTCAATTTTTGCAGAGAGAGCAGCAATAAAACATAATAAACCCGAACGGTGGTTAGCATTGTTAAAGAATACCATATAAATGAATAACACACAGTAGGGACAAATCCGAATTAACATACTCATAATATATGAGATGCATAGTCTACGAAACTCTAATTTCGGGAAGATGCAGTTCAAAGTACGAATTAACAAATCGACACAGCACTGAGACATAACGAAGTGCGCTTTGTTTACACAACTGCGCTTCCTTATGGGAGCCAGTTTGGGACGAGAGCTACAAGCTCAACAACAAAGCGTGACGTCAATATGTCTCAGGTCTATTAAATAACAACATGCATTCAATCGAATATGATATCTCAACAAATACTGGAATTTATTCATACCAATACATTTTTGATTTAGTTAACATGCTTAACATAGAACGCACAATACAGGCGTGCAAACTATTTGAAACACAACATGTATCAAAGAAAAGTAAGAGTGATTTGGCTCCACTGAATGTGTGGAAACTGACTATTTTGGAGCATTTCTAATATGGATATTTCTATTCAATTGATTCCAAATTAAGGCATTCATTTTCCATGTGATATCCTTTCAAACCAGGAAATGCAATCATTAAATAAATACATCAAAATTCACTTAATTAGAAAAGTGGCTGAGGAAAGGGAGCATAAAAATAGGGAAAACTACACTCAACAGAAACAACATGCATATTCAGAAAATTAAATTTGAACAATTCATAAGGACTGAAAAAAAAACTGAAAAGGAAGAATATGAATCAAACCAAAAGAAAGGAAAAATGTGCCACGCAAACGTATAGATGAGTGTCAGTATTCGTTTGATTGACACTTTCTACCATCAAACAACCTTGACATATTTCACTGTAAGGGGCTTTAAATATCATAAAGTTTTCCGATTGAAATTCAAAGATGTTATTCAAAACACAAAGATGACAGCAATGTTGTACTTACCCTACCACCCTGTTAATAAGCAAGAAAAGTAAAAGCAAAAATACTAATCAGTAGACTTATCGGTACCGTCAAAATTGAACTTTAGGGTTTGTTTAAGATTTTATTACAAATACAAAGTCAGTCGTGACGTCAGTCCTAGGAGCAACGTCACAACATATAGACCTTAAACATGGTATCGACCTTACTAATGAACTGAACTGAACTCTTGTTTAATCATAATAATCGGCATGTTATAAAAAGACGTTGTGTAAAGTGTTTCTTGTTCGCTTTATGGATTTTTTTTTACAGGACTTTGTGTTATTTTGATATGTAAGCGCGACCGTGACGAAAGTCCGTTTTGTTCAACTTAATATTTGTTCGGATTCCTTTGGTTTGAAAGAAAGTAATGGAATTTCAGCTTGCGCAGGTACAGCTTGACGAAGATATCAAATTAGGAATTGTATGGCCTTGTGCAGGGCTTTCACTCTTACGTCTTATCCAATCGCGCCTCTGATGTCAATGACCGCTGTTCGTCAATTTCATTTCCTTAAAATCGCAGAATTCTGGGATTCGCGGGATGAAAGACACCCCATGCCTACTCTTTTTTCCGAAGAACCTTTGCATTGTTGACGCTTGAGTCCTATTCATTGTTCGGAGCGGCAATCAAACCTTTGGGCAAAGTCCTTATTGCCGCTAGAGAGATGACAACCTCCCAAATCCACACATTTATGCTGTTTTTTAATCTCCACCCTGTGGTTTCCGCCGTCAGAGGGCCTAAGGTGACCTCCCTCATGTCATTCTGGTAAAAAATAATACAATTACCGCGGCATGGTCTCCTATGAGATCTGTTGTACTGGGCGTATTAGCACAAATTTCCGCAGGCGTGAATCGGTCATGCCGGCGCTCAGGGATATATAACACGACTCACCGCTCTCAACATCTCCCAATAATATAACGCGATTTTTTATATCCAAAAAAAAAAACCCGGAAAAAAAAATGGATTTTCCTTAACATTGAGAAAAGCCGTGGGCCTACATTAATGGGTCAAACTTCGAAAATGAAACATGAGTAACAAACAGTCTGAAAAAAATACAACATAGAGCTAGAAAATACTCAGAGAGCGCAAACCTACGCCAAGGCTGAACAATTCCCCGCCATATTGTCAGTACACCCAAAATAATTATTCGCATATCCGCTGGACTTCCACATTTAATTGCACATTTCAAATGTCAACTGGATGCTCATTATTCTGAATTTATCGAAAAATAGCAATGTTGGCCGCTTTATATCGTTAGTTATCAAATAAAACAAATCCTTAAAATCTAACATTTTGTAGTCTACATGTATATGACTGTGTCGGTCTACCTCTCCATGCCCCCCCCCCCCCATTGTATAATATGGTCTAGTCTATTGACCTGTGTGGTTAGATTAGGTGGGTGATAAGAAATACAGGGTCACCGAGTCAGTGCACGCACACGAAGCTGCTCAGTTGTACACAGAGGTTCATGGTCCCTACACATAACATATTTGCACATACAAAATGGGGAAAAATCCTTTAAAAAAATCCTGCATGCAGACTCAGATCCGGATCACTTTCAAAATCTAATCGATGTGTACTTGTTCCAAGGGCCACCCCTAAAACAAATTTCACAAAAATTCTTCCATAACTTTTTGAGTTATCCTGTTCACAGACAAACCAAGCAACCAACCAACCAACCAACCAACCAACAAACAAACAAACTAACAAACAAACAAACCAACGCCAATGAAACCCCCCTTGGTGGAGGTAATAATGAGCAAATTTGACTTTACACTCTTTTGCATTAGTCGACTGAAAATGTGAAGCTTTGCAGCAATTTAAACCTAACACCAAATTATTATCTAGTTGGCCAAATGACGGCTGGATAGTAATTATTCAAGACAATTTTTTCTTAATATCAGCATGAGGTCTTTTTACATAATAAAACCTATCAATCTAAATTCGCTGTCGAACTGTGTCATTTCTGTTGATCAAGCTCTTCAGGATAATTGGAAATACAAACGTTAAATTGGTAATAAATTCATTACTGTGACGACATGCGAAATGACCATACACGTCAGGAACTTGCGCTATCTTTCTATCTTCTTGGTGTATCAATTACATGCTAATGAAATGACAATAAGTCCTTTCATCACTCGTCAAAACGATCTCACCTTAATTGTTCATAAACACTAATTATAAGATCAAGGTCATAATAACCGTATAATTTCGTTTGAAGCTCCACCAGCTATTATTCTGATTAAGCTCAAGGCTCCTGATCTACTGAAACGTGTGAGTGATTAACAACGCAATCAGTTACTGCCAAGTAATAACTCCAAGGACGATGACATGTTGTACACTCTAAAAACTGAAGAGTTGAATTCAACACTTACATGTGTTCGGTCAGTGCAACAATTTGAAAGTGTTAAAATCCATCATTTTAAATGTTAAATCCAACACTTAAAATGTTAATTCAACATTTTAAATGTTGATTATGTTGATTCAACACTTTCAAAGTGTTAAAGGTGAAAAATGTTGAATCAACACTTTACAACATTTAAAATGTTGAATTAACATTGTAAGTGTTGGCTTTAACATTTAAAATGCTGGATTTAACACTTTCAAAGTGTTGCACTGACCGAACACATGAAAGTGTTGAATTTAACACTTCAGTTTTTAGAGTGAACATGCCTTGGCAGTCCACAACGTGTACACATTATGTGCATCTTTAACTTGGAATTGAACCTGTATTTATTAGATTCAAATATAGCTATTCCAGTGTAGTATAATTGTGAAAATATAAAAATAAAAAAAAAAACGCTTACAATCAAACTTTGTTATTAAATGGATTCTCTTTAATGTATCTCAAATATCTTAGACACCTTTGAAAAGCATGATCCTTGATTTATAATTATCTTCATGAGAAACGATTGTTTTTTGTCAAAACGCTATTCATTTTATGACAAAATGCCGTCGTTTTCAACTTTCAAAGTGAAGCTACCCGAATCTGTCGTTTAAAGAACCCTTAGATTACATGGGATGAGTGAAAAAATTATGTCAACTTACTGTTTTTTGACCAAGAATACCAAAATATAGTAAAGCGCCCTCTTGTGGTCACCGCAGTACAATCAAATGACGTCATCTTATAGCTAACTGACCACACATTCCTACACGATTTTAAGAAAATCAGCCAGCGCATTAGAATCGCGGCACAATCCCCCCCCCCCCCCCATCTGTCTTGAGAAGACGCAAAATAATCCGGTCCAGTTATAGGGTTAGTGGGGTAGTATTGTGAACAGGACGTTTTTTTTCATAGCGACGGTTTGTTCCGAACCATCCAATGTATTGTTACAGAATTCCTTTTCCCAAAATCATTAAGTAAGCCATATCATAATAGTTTTGCAGTTTTCTAACGCTGAATATACAGCAGTGGCGTAGCCAGGAATTTTTCAGTGGGTGGGTGGGGGGGGGGGGGGCGCTGGGGGGGGGGGGGGGCTGGTACATTTCATGGGGGGGGGGCGTCATGTAGATCAATTATCAATTATGTGCTGTGTTTTATCATTCAATGTTGAACAGAAGTGTTGTGAAATCTTCCAAAAATAATACCTCTCTTTATAAAGAGCCATTACGGATACACTCGTACGCGTCAGTCCCTCTGTCTTTGTCTTTGTAGATTGGTTTATAATTAGCCAGTTATCGGAAATCTAATTATGACTACGTTGTTCCTTGACATGGTCCACTACTTTACAATGTTAGTGAAAATACATAAGAAAGAAGGAGGCACGGATTACTTACTATATCAGTCTGTTTGCACATCCGGGCAAGCAATGGTGAGGAAACAAAAATATTGATTTTAAGTTCAAATTCTATTTGATAAACACGTTTATACATTTGTATTGATACACTTGTTTCAACCACAAGATAATAATAATAGTAATAATAGTGGATATTTATAAAGCGCACGTATCCACCACGACTGGTGCTCAAGGCGCTACATCATTATTACCCCTGCTCATTGGGAACATGAAACATTCCAAATACCATCTCAGCTTCCTGGGGAGTATACAGCTCGATGCAGCCTGTTAGGCGCAAGGAAGCTAATTCAATCACAATAACCATCTCTGCCCTCACAGGTACCCATTTACTCCTGGGTGGAGAGAAGCAATGAGCGACAAAGTGCCTTGCCCAAGGGCACATGCACCATGACCCCGCCAGGACTCGAACCCACAACCTGCAGCTTTACCCGCAGACCACGAATCAGTGCTCTTAACCACGAGGCAACAGTATATACAACAATAATGTCATGTAATAACATGGTAATGTGCATTAAAAACATATCAACTCTAGTACTTGGCAAAGCTTGATAATAGACAAACATCTTGCATTAACATCTCGTTAGTTCAGTCGACTCCCGTTAGTGCGAAATCGTATAGGACGAAATTCCAGTTATAACGAACACATATCTTCGGTGCCGTTAAAATTGTGCACGTTTCTATGCGGAAAAATTTGCTGAAACAAAATTGATAAGTACGAATTTTCTGTTATAACGAAAGGTTTTGGCGACCCCTGGCGTGTAAAACTATTGTTTGAACGTTGCTCATAATACGGGGGTGTGTAACAATAACTAAAGACTCATTCAATTAGATAATTTTTGATAATCTTACCTGCTTTTGCCGTTTTTGAGTGTTGTCTTTTAGCCAAGGCAACGACCTACCATGAACTGTAAAGACAAAAAAAGAAAGAACAATTTCAAAGTATGACCTTGCACCGTAATAAGAACAGATTAACGAATATTGTGACACACAGGCGGATCTTGGGGTTCAACGGGGCCATGTTCGCCATCAAGAAAAACATCGATTTCTTAAATCGATGTTTTTTTAACATGTTCCCTTCCCTCTACCATTTCGTGAAAGTATTGATAGAAGAAATGCCAAGAAAATAAGAGGTAAGAGAGCCGCAAACATTTAAATATGTCTTTCCCAAACTGCACTAATTTGTAACCTTCAGTGGTAATTGTACTTAAGAAACATGTATTATATTGCATGCACTTAAGAAACAATATATCCCAAGTCCACAATAAATCGATTTCCCCAATAATTTTGTCTGAAAAATTTCCCCCCAAAACAAGACAAGACACGTAGAATGTCTTTTGTCTTCTGAAGGGACTTTCGCTGAGATGATGTTTTTAGGCACAGAGCCAAAAACAAATATACGGATATCGAATATACTTTGAGTAATAGAAAGTTATCGGTGGCAGTTCGGTGTAAATGAATGAACATTATTAACACAATGTATCCACACACAAAAAAGCCGTATATGCGCCCTTCATTGACGCATTTTCATTTAAAAAATGAGCCCATTTTCATTTTGAAATCTTCAGGCGGACGTGAACAATAAATCACCCTCATACATCCTAATGACGAAGAGCGAACAGGTGAACGCTATGACAAGCCAATATGCACTTATGTGGGATCATTACGCCATAGCACAATCAAATAAACGGCAGTAAAAATCCGCCACAATGACTTTAGTTCACCGTAATTACGCCATCAACCACTCGATAAAAAGTACTTTGCTACAGCAGGAGATCACTATACGCAAATTACGGGAAAAATGATAGTGTAATGACATTCATCAAAACTGCAATAGACCGAATCCATTAGACCCGCCCACTGAGTACGTACATGGGCAAAACATGCGCCCCTTCAATGCTGCACTGCACATTCCAGAAATGCCTGACGGACTTTCTGTACGCATGACGAAGATTAATCACTTTTGTGATTGGTCCAAAATTTATTAGGTCTAACGGGGCGGGATTGGTATATGTTACAAGTATTGACTGCGAGTGGTGTCGTCAAACTAGCCTCCCGATATCCACGCAGCGTTATACTTTGAACGATTCATGCTTCACCGAGGGAGGCTACTTTTACTACAGCACGTTAATTCTGCTCGATTTTAAGAAATAATTGATTGGTGTAATTCAATTTCTATATGAAAATAAGTTAATTGAACTTATACTTGTACTTTTACACACGACACCTTCATGAAATGTTTGAACCCAACTCTGTTGCGCATGGGAACTAAAATGCGCAACGCACACACATCACCCGTATGCATGCGTGTACAAACACTGCCTTGTGGGGTACCGGAACAATGGGAGGTACCCCACAAGGAATGCCCATCGACTTGCGGGGTACCGTTTTGGTACCCCACAAGTTTTTCACAAAATAGATATATGGATTTTACTCAAAAACTAGGAATTTCCAAGGTGGGTTGATCAGTCGCAAATGGAAGAGTTTTAGAAAAGGGATGTTAAATCCGAATTGCAGCCCAGGAAATTAACTGTGGTTAAAATAAGAGCATTTTGACATAAGTGTGCGACGTTGCAAAATTTTAGTACACGAGAACAAAGGAAGTACCCCACTTCTATGCCTATGTAAGCGTGTGTGTGCTCACACACTTGTACTTGCTACATTGGTTTCTATGCGTATATTAGTTTTGTTTTCAGACAAAGGGCAGTCGTTGTATAGCTTTTTGGCTGTACACAGCAAAAGAGTAAAATAACGAAAGCGACGTGCCTTGCTCTCGGCCAATCAAGATACAGGTCATGTGTAATAAGTTTGAGGGCAGGTGAGCAATGATTGCACAAATATCACTGAACGGATTGGTTCATAGTAATCGTCGCAAGTATCCAGACAGGAACATTTATTTCCATAGAGGTGACCACTTTTCAAGAATAAAATTAAAAAGGGCGAAATTAGAAATTTAAAGTATTGTTACTTGTTCAAAAGCAGGCTTTATACAGTAAAATACTTCAATTATGCATGCTTAGTATACTTAATCATTATGCTCCCACTAAGTGAAAATAAACAGATATTTAAGACACTGAATATATGCATTTTTACCTATGAAGTGAATTCCGCAATACTATTGCTTTACAACATCTGAGCTTCTTGCATAATTCATTTATGGAGGTTGATTTAAACGATTTGTTTCAATAACAAGTCCATTCAAATCAAAACTACGCAAAGCCATAAGCTAGTTATTTTTCTGCCAATAACACACTGGTTCAAAATGCGCTGATCTACGGTGTTATACTTTGGTTGCCACATTATAAATTTGGAGCCGGATCGGGAAAGTCCCCATGTTTTCCCCCAATGGTTTTTTGTGGTTTTTTTCGCCCATCCTGTTATCAGTAATTCATGCCTTATACTTCAGTGTTTAAAATGAACTTGTGTTGTGTATATAGCTCTAGCTTCATTTCTGTAACATTTATGAAATACTTGTATTAGTAAATATTACTAAATATTAATATCACAAATGCACGTTCACTTAACATTATCTAATAATTTGTAATTTATGCGTGGCCCCAGTGGAAACCATTTTCAAACTGTTTTAAACTGGGTACAGATATGGAATACAAAAATACAGAATTAAATAAACAAGGTTATGGAAATTACTCGTAAAAATGGAAGAGATTATGACACTTGCACATACTGGCCCACGACAACAGTTTACAAGTTGAAGTCACCAGATCTAACTGTTCTAACAATGGAACATGAACTGCAAAATGTGTAGTGGTTTAGTAGCGACAGGGTGCGCAATTACGCAAACTATGAAGGGAAAAGAAGTTAGATAAAGAAATTCTAAAAGCAAGGATTCTCGAGCCATCTTGTGGGTAATACTCTCGTGCATTACTATGGTCGTGAAGATTACGTTATTCGCATTAAATAAAGTACCTTCTAGTCTGCAGGAGTTTTTTCTTTAGTTGTAGATTGTCAACAGAGAATCAACTGTGATACCACGAAAAACAAAAAGAGATTGCTTGCGAGTACGGCGCAGGGCCGGCTGTCCAAGCAAAGATTGACATCGCTAAATTGCAATATTTGACGGGCCATATACATCCCAAGCAATATCGACACTCACCGAAGTGGCAGCTGATCGAAATGAATCCCTACTAGGTAATTGCTACCCTAGCGACGAGGACCTGCTTCCGGAACGCTTGACAACTTCATTGAATTTTAAGCGGGGGAGAGAGAGATAAGATGACCGCTGATCATTTTGTCTGCATCGTGGTTTTCCTAGATTGATCGTTTTTACTGTTCTTGGTCTCAATCTTTCACTAATTAGGTAAATTTATGTGGCCAGTGATATGCTTATTGTGTTGCTTTTAAAAACACTTGCACGTCATGACATTTCTGATATTTTAAAACGGGGCAGGTACGAATCCGCATGGTCAGGCCGATTTTTTTATTTAAACGTTCCGTATTTCGTATTTCCATTTGCCTATAATGCATAATGGGGAATATCTATTTTGTAAAAAAATTAATAAAATTGTATCAGCTGGTGATACTTCAAAATGGTTTCAAGTTACAAAACCTAATGTTTCCATACATTTTTCCATGCATTTCAAAGGTAAAAAGATGTGTCAAAATCGATGATGTACTTTGTGATACCGCAATCATTTAGATGAACATGGTTAATGAAGCTGCCGCAATTTCATTCGACTTTGTAATGTTAAAAAAACGAATGACTTCGATATCGTTTCCAAAACTGTTGGTGATATGAAGAGGGTTAGTTGCAGTGGATTTCCTATGGGATCGGTTACCGCCGCAACCTCCACTCATTTTAATTAATGTGTCAATCACCTGCGTTTAATTAGTAACACACCGTGAGTTGTTTGGGGACTAAGCCGGCACTCATGTCTCCCCCTCCGGCGCTCCCGGTCAAAAAGTCGCTCTACTCAACGAAGTAAATTTGCTAAACACATTGCTCTTCCTGGCAGGGAAAATGAGAGAGCGGCCGGTTTTAAGAATAGACGATGCCGATCGTTAGACGAAGCACCCTTCTGGTTCAACACAAGGGCTCTCGAATTGGTTTCAAGACGAAAGCTTTCCGGTAAATAAATCAATACACAGGGGATGCCAAAGTTTTGATTTGATGTGTTCACATGCAGCTTACCAAAAATACAGCAGCAACAGCTTGCTGTCAGTGGAATTCGTGACGGGGGAGGCTGTGTCCGGGTAGTCCTCTCGACTGCATGGACATATATTGATCTGTTTAGTCACGCTGACGTGGGATATAGTCAGTGATGTTATAACGGAGTCCTGTTTTGAAGGCCGAGTAGACTGTTGGTAATATGGCGAAGTGTCATCTGGTCGTTGAACCGGGCCCGTAGCTGCTCTACAAGAGACGTTCAACTGATATCGGGGGACGATTTCCGCGAGAGGCGACATTACTTCAGACGAAATAAGTAACTTAGACAAGCACAAGACGATTGTACAACTGGAGCAAATAGCTGAGGTTCGGTGCATAACATGGACATTAGGTGTGGCAGGAGGAAGAAGGGAGTACACACGTATAGCCACCAGAAGTACTACCCCTGCTCATTGGGCCCACAACATATCCCCACAACAAAGTGCCATAAGGCTTGGCAGTATTCAGTACGATGCGGACGTTTCGTCGGAATTCTGCAACAACACTTACCAAACTACATTATACTAGATTCCAATCATACTAGGATTTCAACGAGTACCTGTTTCACTAAGCAAAAATCGCACAGACTTGATTGAACAAACACTTTGGGGTTATTCGGACTGGCTTTCCACCTCCATTCATACTTTGTTCTACAAACGCATGTCTTTTGATAATATCGAGTTTATTGGATCAATTGAATGAATCTCCTTTCATGGACAAGATTTAGCCTAGCCTGAAAGTTGGTGCC